GGATGGGCCGCGCCCTTATGCTCTGTGCCTGCAGGGCCACAGGCGAGAGTGGGGGTGACTGGACCATCACTGAATTGGGGAGGGGTGGTGGAGGGAGAGTGCGGAAGCCCAGGAAGGGGGGAGCCTGCGTGTGGACACCCCTGGGTGCCCTTGCCTGCTGGATCTGCAGGGGTGGGGCAGGGCGGGGCAGGGCGCGGCTCTGCCCTGGACGATCCTGGCAGCAGGCGCCTCCCACCCTCCGGATGTGGGCTTGCTGGCTTCCTCCTCAGGAGCCCCCAGGTCACATGCACCTGGCGTCAGAAGACGGGGAGCCTCTCCAGCTCCGGTCTGGCCTGGTGGAGGGACTCGCGTTCCTCTGGTTATCCCCCCTCGGCCCCATGTCTCTGGACCCCGGAACCCTGGCCTCACTTTGCGAAGGCAGCATCCCTGGCTGCCCAGTCTTACCTTACAAAGCTTCCTCGGATTGAGCAAAAAGTCACTGTCTGGGGACTCCGCACAGACAAGCCCCCTCTCTCCCGTCTGGTGCCCAGTCAGTATCTGCTGGGTGAACGGCGGTGGGCCCACGAGCTTCTGTCTTCCCTGCTCTGCTGAGTTATCTGTTCAACCTCCAGCCTCGTCCATACGCACACTTTGTGGGGGGACCCAAGGCCACGGTCAGGAAAACGTGGGGAGAAGTGAGAAGACCCGTCTGAGGCTGTGGGCTTTCTGCACTCGATAGGGCACAGGGTCTGCCGGGCTTGGTGCTGAGAACTTGACTGTGGCCTCCCTCTGTTTTTTTGTATTTTTTGACAGGAAGAGTGGACAGTGAGAGAGAGAGACAGAGAGAAAGGTCTTCCTTTGCTGTTGGTTCACCCTCCAATGGCCGCCACGGCCGGCGCACCGTGCTGATCCGAAGGCAGGAGCCAGGTGCTTCTCCTGGTCTCCCATGGGGTGCAGGGCCCAAGCACTTGGGCCATCCTCCACTGAACTCCCTGGCCACAGCAGAGAGCTGGCCTGGAAGAGGGGCAACTGGGACAGAATCCGGCGCCTGACCAGGACTAGAACCCAGTGTGCCAGTGCCGCAGGCGGAGGATTAGCCTAGTGAGCCACGGCGCTGGCCCTCCCTCTGTTCTATCTGCTGTTCTTTGGTTCCCAGACAAGCCAGGGTTCTGTGGCCTCTTCCATGTGGAGCTGTTTTGGGAATCCACAGGCAGCCCCTCCACATGGGAACTCCGCTGGGCCCAAAAGTGGAGGAGGGGGGCAGCACTGTGGCGCAGTGGGTTAAAGCCCCAGCCTGCAACACCGGCATCCCATATGGTTCCAGTCCCGATTGCCCCACTTCGGATCCAGCTCCCTGCTAATGTGCCTGGGAAAGCAGTGGAGGGCAGTCCAAGTGCTTAGGCCCCTGCACCCGAGAGGCAGACCTGGAAGAAGCTCCTGGTTTCAGATCAGCTCAGCTCCGGCCATTGAGGCCATTTGGGGAGCGAAGCAGCAGATGGAAGACCTCTCTCTCTCTCTTCTTTAAAATAAATAAGTAAGTGTGGGAAGAAGGAGCGACTCCGGCAGGGCAGGCTGTGCCCACTGCAGATCCTGAAATGGCTCAGCTGTGCTGCGACTCGTCCGTCGGTCCTTGGCCAGAAGTCCGGGGGCAGCACACGCAGAGCCTGCTCACTGTACACGGAGCACGCTGAGACTGGGTGGGTAATGGTTTCTGAGTAAACTACCTAGGTGTGCAAGGGTCTGCCGGGGAGCGAGGTGGGAACCAGCGACACAAGGCGATCCGCGGCAGACAAGGGGTCCAGGGGCCGCTGGGTCTGCCCAGCGGGAGGAGGCGGGGGGAAAGGGTCGCCACGGCCAGGGAGCTCCCACTCGCCACGAGGACCTCACACTCATCCAGCCCCTGCTGGGCACAGACACAGCCCTGCCCTTCCACACCTGGCCCAGGACCTGCAGGAGGGCGTGGCCTTGGCTAGTTAACTTTTAGGAAGCCATTTACGGGTGTGCCCCACCTGAGAGCTGCCAGCTCCGCCTCCCACGCCCTGTGTCTTCACGCCACCAGGAGCCATGAGCCACGCAGGAGACAGGCACACACGCTCCAGGCTCTTCCACTGGCTGGTCGGAGCCTCCCCAGCTTTGTCCCGCCCCCGGCGATCTTTGCCCTCTGTGTCCTGGCTGGCACAGAGGCCCCGGCCAGGAGAGCTGACCACTGCTGGCCCCTTGGGGCTGTGCCCTAACCCCCGGACCAGGACCTGCACCCTCTATTTTTGTGTGTTCCGTCTTCCTGGTCGTTTCCCGTTCAATTCAGCGGACTTTGGCGGTGGTGAAAGGTTCTGGGGATGATTTCAGCGCTCAGATCCCAGAGAGAGCGCGGCAGCTTTGGGTCAGTGCCGGCTCAACAACTTCCCAACTACAGAAGCTTGGACTCATCTAACCGGACTTCCTGGTCCACACCAGGGATAAACACCTATGACCTCCCAGATCTAATGGAGGAGATTTTGTAAGTATGTATCCTACGATCCCAGCACAATATGAAAACCACTCTCCTTAGCACCGTAAGGCACTTCCGGCACTGGGGGGGGGGGGGGGGGGCAGGGAAGCACAGGCTGAGTGGCAGCCGGAAACCAGCAGAGCAGAGTGATTGAAGGACCCAGCCCCAGAGCCCTGCAGCACCTTGGATTCCTGCCTTGCAGTCACCCCCGGGGTACACTCTCGGTCCCCCTAGGCATCGCGTGTGCAACGCAAAGACCCCTGTGAAAGTCAGGAGCACTGAGTGTGAGAAGTTTAATGAGAATGCTTGCGGGACTACGAGCGCAGAAGCCAGGAGAAAACAAGGAGGGGCCGGCGCTGTGGCGCAGCGGGTTAAGGCCCTGGCCCGCGGTGCCTGCATCCCACATGGGGGCCGGTTCGGGCCCTGGCTGCTCCATTTCCAGTCCAGCTCCCTGTTGATGCGCCTGGGAAAGCAGGGGAGGATGGCCTGAGCCCTTGGGCCCCTGCACCCAGTGGGGACCTGGAGGAAGCTCCTGGCTTCAGCAGCTCAGCTCCGGCCACTTGGGGAGTGAACCAGCAGGTGGAAGACCTCTCTCTCTCTCTCTCTATCTCTCTCTTTCTCTTTGTAACTCTGTCTTTCAAATAAATAAAATAAATCTTAAAAAAAAAAGAGAGAGAGAGAGAAGGAAGGAAGGAAGGAAGGAAGAAAGAAAGGAAGGAAGAAAGGAAGGAAGAAAGAAAAAAACAAGGATTGCCCAGCTAGGCAAGGTGTGATCTGTGCGGCCCTGGGGCCAGGCACCCTAGCCTGTGGTCTCATTCCACCCTCACAACACCCCCCAGAGGTGTTTATGGCTAAAGGATCACTTTCCAAAGGTACAAGCATAAACTAATACTTGGCAGTGATTTAATTTAACTTGTCGATCAATGAGGAAACTAGTAAGATGTTACAAAATCGGGAACAGAAACAAACAAAAGTCGTCAGGAACGCAGAACTCAATTTGCTTACTAGCTGCCAAGCTGATCAGTCTCCACAGGGCAATAATCAATTGCGTCTCCAAAGGGAGACAATTTGTGTTTCTGTGCACAAAATCACACGCAGTTTCCTGCCATTCACAAAGCAACAAAGCAGCTCAATAATAACGAAAGGTGGAGATAACCCAAAGGGACACTAGACAGGATACCCAGTAAACACCTTTGATAGCAATGATCCTCGTTCCCTGACAAAGGAGGGGGACAGAGACTGACACAGGAAGAGGAAGGGGGGTGGGCGTCGCAGCAGGCGAAGCCACCCCTGAGATGCTGGCATCCCATTCAAGCACCGGTTCTAGTCCCAGCCGCTCCTCTTCTGACCCAGCTCCCTGCTGATGCACCTGGGAAAGCAGCAGAAGATGGCCCAAGAGCTGGGGCCCCTACACCCGCGTGGGAGACCCAAATGGAGTTCCAGGCTCCTGGATTTGGCCAGGCCTAGCCCCGCTATTGCAGCCATCTGGGGAGTGAACCAGCAGATGAAAGACCTCTCTGTCTCTCCCTCTTTCCTCTGTAACTGTGCCTCTCAAATAAACAAATCTTTACTTTAAAAAAAAAAAAAAAAAAAGTGGAAGCTGGGCTGCTCTCCGGTGTAGCAGTTCCCGAGCGCCGGTCCCACCTGTGGCTGGGGACATCCACAAGGAGCCTGGGATGGAGTTGGAAAAACACTCACCAGGACGAAGTAAGTTATTCTGCAAAACTAAATGATTTCCTTCAAAGAACTGCCCTTTATGAGAGACGATATCCACCCCACACTTGTGGGAGTAAAACGCCCTTTCCTCTGTGAGAGGGTGACAGTCATGTGCGGTCATAACTGCCGTTGTTTCTAACAATGCAGTTTTGTGATGAAATACAGGCTGGTTGGCCGGCGCCGTGGCTCACTAGGCTAATCCTCCGCCTGCGGCGCCGGCACCCCGGGTTCTAGTCCCGGTCGGGGCGCCAGATTCTGTCCTGGTTGCCCCTCTTCCAGGCCAGCTCTCTGCTGTGGCCAGGGAGTGCAGTGGAGGATGGCCCAGGTGCTTGGGCCCTGCACCCCATGGGAGACCAGGAGAAGCACCTGGCTCCTGCCATCAGATCAGCGCGGTGCGCCGGCTGCGGCAGCCATTGGAGGGTGAACCAACAGCAAAGGAAGACCTTTCTCTCTGTCTCTCTCTCTCACTGTGCACTCTGCCTGTCAAAAAAAAAAAAAAAAAAAGAAATAAAGGCAGGTAACCTATGTAACCCCCATTATATATACACATACATACATACATATATATATATAGTATATATGGTGGGCATTCAACCTAGCGATTCAGCTGCTGACGGGGATACCCACATCCCACAGCGGGCTCACTCCTACCTCGGGCTCCCAAGTCCAGCCTGTTCCTATGCTAAGTTCCTGGCCTCTGGCTTCAGCCCCCTGGCCACTGCAGGCGTTTAGGTGGTGAAATGGCAGAAGGCAGTGCTCTCTGTCTCCCCGCCTCTCAAATAAATAATTTAAAATTTTTAAAAATAAGAATACTTACACATGGTGGTTGCGTGTGTTTGGGATTCCCCTCGCTTGCGATAGCCAGGAGTCTGCACACGCTGGGATTCCGTTCACAGTTCTGAAGTGCTGTGTTACAGATAAACCGGCTGCAGGCTGCCTGCCGTAGAACGTTCTCCCTGTCCGAGAGAAGGAAGGGAAGCTGGCTTGGCCAGGCCAGGCAGCCGGGCGCTGGGGCCGATGGGAGGAGGGAGAAAAACTCCCCAGGCTTGGGGTGCTGGGAGGTGCTGGGGCAGGAAGGCAGGGTGCGCGTGAGTGGGCACAGGGTCCTTGTGTGGAGGCCAGCGGGAGCAGCGTGCCCTCGTGCCGCAGGACGCACAGAGGACCACTGCCAGCAGCCTCATCTTGACTTTCTCCCCCTCACCTGGGAGCCCCGAGTGCCTGGTGCTGAGAAGTCTCCGGGGCCGAGAGCCTGCTGGGTCACACAGCAGTGTCCACGGCCCTTCCCCGCGCAGCCCTCTCTGTCTGTAACACAAGGTCCTGGGCCTCAGCCGGCATGCGGGCCAGGAAAGCAAGCAAGGCGGGGAGCGGAGGTTTGCATGCGTCGGCCGAGGCCGAGCCGTATCTGGAGGGCTGCGGCCTGGGTTTCACTTCCTTCACACCAGCCGCCTCCCTCACCCCAACGACCCTGTTCTTCAGGTCAGAAACCATCAAAGCGCTACTTTCTTTTTCTTCTTTCTAGATTCTTGTTTTCATTATATTTGAGAGAGAGCGAGAGAGCGAGAGAGCGAGAGAGAGAGAGATCTTCCATCTGCTAGTTCACTCCCCAAATGCCTACAACAGCCATGGCTGGGCCAGGCCGAAGCCAGGAGCCCAGAACTCCATCCAGGTCTCCCACGTGGGAGGCAGGGACCCGAGTCCTTGAGCCGTCACCTGCTGCCTCCCAGGATACACAGCGGCAGGAAGCTGAACCAGAAGCTGAAGAGCCAGGACTTGAACCAGTAACTCTGATGTGGGATGCACATGTCCAAAGCAACGGCTTAACCAGTCTTAACTGCCCACTCCATAAATGTACTGCTTTTAAAGAACAGAACAGGGCCGTGGGTTAAGCCACAGCCTGCAGCACCCGTATCCCATATGGGCACTGGTTCAAGTCCGGGCTGCTCCACTTCTGATCCAGCTCGCTGCTGTGGCCTGGGAACGCAGCAGAAGATGGCCCAAGTCCTTGGGCCCCTGCACCCATGTGGGAGATCTGGAATAAGATCCTGGCTTCAGTCTGGCCTAGGCCTGGCTGTGGTGGCTGTTTGGGGAGTGAACCAGCGGATGGAAGATTCTCTCCCATTCTCTCTCTCTCTCTCTCTCTCTGCCTCTCCTTTCTGTTTCACTCTACCTTTCAAATAAATAAATAAATCTAAAAAAAAAAAAAAAAAAAACAAACAAACAAAAAAACACCCAGACTGGAGAGCTAGCAGCCCTGGCTGTTTTCTCTGGGGGTGGGGGACTGGGAGGGCACACACACCGGAGTCCGAGGTTTTGGTGGAGACAAGCCAGGAGTCCCAGCCCCAAAGAGGAGGCAGGTGAGTCCGGCGGAGCCAATGCCTGCCTTAGCAGGATGGAAAGCAGGCAGGGCTGGTGGGTTCTGGAGAAGAGCACACCGATAGGTAACCTTGGGCAGGGGGAGGGTCAGCTGAGGAGTTGGGCTGCTGCGCTCTGCGGCTCGGGTCAGGGACGCAGCGGCTGGGTGGGCGCCACAGCAGCTGGCTCGTGGGAACTGCTGGGTGGTGGACGTTCCAACCAAGGCAAGGCCTCTCCAGCCCTCCTCACTGCTTCCTCCACCCCAGCGGAGTGACCGGCCAGAGCTCGGCAGGGACCGAGTGCCAGCACCACCGCCACAGCAGGGCTGTCCGGGCTTCGTGTTCTGGGCTCTGCCCTCAGGATTCCAGGATCTCAGATCTGGAAGAGACGGCTGGTGGCACGGGCACCCCAGCTGCTGTAGCTCCATGGACATGCGGCCTACTGGCCTCTGCAGGGCCCTGCGCCCTGGTGGACGCCCGGCACGGGCCTGTGCAGCCTGGAGCTGTGGACCGCTCCTCCCCGCTGAGTCCCACAGCCAGCACGGGGGTGCTCACCATAGCACCTCACATGGCAATGGCCTCAGTCAATGGCCCACAAGTCACAGACGGCCCAAAGTCACCTTCAAGTGTATTTTCTCCTGGCCTGCCTGATGTGTGTGTGTGTTGAATTGTAAGCCAATATCTATAACAAACATTTCCTAGAAATATCTAGCCCTGTAGATTTTCTTGGTCTGTTTGCAAGGCTGGCAACAGTGACTCCACCTTACCTCGACCCCTGGCTGCCGCTGGGCGGTGCAGTCCCTGAGGTGGGCGTGGCTCTCCGGCTCACCCCTATCCCAGAGCTGTCAACGCAGCTGTTTCCTTGTCTCTGAGTCCCCGCTGGTCCCTGTGGGTGGGAGTTTGTGAGGCCTTGCCCATGCCCCCCTGTTTCCAGGACCCTCCTCAGCCCAGTGTTCACCCCCTCCCTCGGCAGTTAACCTCTTCCCTTCCAGAGCCACACTGGACTTCCTCCTCCTGTTCTGCTCCTGTCCCATCCTGTGACTGCCGTTAATATGACAACCACCAAGCCAGCAATGTCTTCACAACTCTCCTTGTGCCTACGCAGTTAAATCGGCGGCTCTTAGCCAAGGGCAGGCCCACCTCGACCCTCCCCACAGGGGCCCTGGGAAACTCTTGTCATCATGACAGGGACAGTTAATGCCTGGGACCCGGAGGTAGTGGGTGTAAGCACACTGCTACGCAAGGCATCGTCCCACAGGAAAGCAAGCGTGTCCCACTCAAGGTGCCGGCTACCCTCCTGCAGGAACACCTGGGACGCAATGCCAGCTAACCGTGTCCTGGATCACTCCCATAGCTTCTCCATGCCTGTGCAAGACGGGGACAGCGTACTGCAGCCGCGGAACGCCGCATCTCTTGCACGGCGCTGCTGTGAGGGGCATCCGAGAGGAAGCAGATACGCACACTCGGCTCACAGCAAGGGCTCCCGGTGGTGCTGACCCAGGAGACGGAGGGAAGACGGGCATCATTGTGCCCACCCGTGGCCCTGCGCTCTGCCTCGGCCGGAAGGGCCAGTGTGCCCAGGTCACGGGTCCCTCCTCTCCCAACCATGCGGGGCTGTGCTGTATCTCCGGGGTCTTGTCCATCTCCAGCACCCATGGTTCTGTGAATCTAGCAAGGTGCATGGCAAACACTTTTGATTTTCTTCCTGGCTTTGCTGGTCTGGGCCGGCACTCCCAGGCACAACGCTGAAACCTGACCTGGGGCTGCACCTCCTCCCATCAGACTGAAGAACGTTCTGTACACGGGACGGACACACAGTGGCACTGCTCTGGGATTCTTCTTTTAAAGATTTATTAATTTATTTGAAAGGCAGAGCAACAGAAAGAGATAAAGAGGGAGATCTGCCCTCCACTGATTCACTCCCCAAATGGTCTCGAGGGCCAGGGCTAAGCCAGGAACCAGAACCACATCCGGGTCTCCCACATGGGTGTCAGGGACCCAAGTCCCCGCTGCCTCCTGAGACACACCAGTGGGGAGTCGAACTGGAGGCAGAGCAGTCGGGACTGGAGCTGGCACTGCCATGGGGACTCTGGCACCACCGGTGGCAGCTTCCCCCACTGCGCCATAGTGCCAGAGCCAAGGAGCCTGTGGTGTTGGAGGAAGGCTATGACGGTGGCCTCGTCTCCTCGTCGCGGCCCTTCCTCAGAGCTCTTGAAAAAATAATTTACTTTTCATTTTATTTGAGAGAGAGAGAGAGAGAGAGATCTTCCATCCTCTGGTTTGCTTCTCAAATGCCTGTAACAGCCAGGGCTGGGTCAGGCCGAAGCCAGGAGCCCGTAACTCCATCCGTCTCCCATGTGGGTGTCAGGGACCAAATACTTAAGCCATCAACTGTGGTTTCCCAGGGTTCTCATTAGCAGGAAAATGGATCAGAAGTGGAGGCAGGGGATTGGAATTGTGGCATAGTGGGTAAAGCCACTGCCTGTGACACTGCCATCCCATATGGGCACCAGTTCAAGTCTTGGCTGCTCCACTTCCGATCCAGCTCTCTGCTGTGGCCTGGGAAAGCAGTGGAAGATGACCCAAGTCCTTGGGCCCCTGCACCCACGTGGGAGACCCGGAAGAAACTCCTGGCTCCTGGCTTCAGATCAGCCCAGCTCCAGCCATTTTAGCCATTTGGAAAGAAAACCAGTGGATGGAAGATCTCTCTCTCTCTCTCTCTCTCTCTCTCTCTCTGCCTCTGCCTCTGTAACTCTGCCTTTCAAGTAAATTAATTTAAAAAAGAAGAGGAGGAGGAGGAGGAGCAGCAGGGACTTGAACTGGCGCCCACATGGAAGACCTGGAAGCAGCTTCTGGTTCTTGGCTTAGGCCTGGCCCCACTCAAGCTATGGTGGCCATTTGCAGAGTGAACGAGCAGATGGAAGACCTGTCTTTCTGTCTCTCTCTTTCGAATAACTAAAAAATAAATCTTAAAAAAAAAAAAAAAGAAAAAGAAAAGCAGAGGCAGGATTGAAACCCAGGCACTCTGACTCGGGATGAGGGCGTCAAGTGCACCTCAACCCCTGTGCCAAACGCACCCCCCAACCCTGCCCTGAGTTTTTCCCTCCTGTGCCAGGTGCCTGCTGATACCTGAGCCCCCCAGGAAGGGGCTCAGCACCAGATGCCGCCCCACTGCTGCTGGACCAGGGTAGGGGGCACACGAGGGGGAAGTCAGCAGCTCAGATCGTCTGAGCGTCAGGAAGAAAGGAGCCGCACTCCATTACTACGGAGACGATGATTTGTAGCCAGGCTTGAGGAGGTGGAGACGGGATTGGGGGATGAACAAAATACAAAAGGGAAACGTAACTGTCTTTGTGGCCAGTGTGGAGTCAGAGCACAGACTTTCCTCCTGCAGTTTAGAGGAAGCTCACTAACGATTCCACGTTAAGGATCAAAAACTGGGGGGCCAGCACTGTGGTGTAGCGGGTAAGGACGCCGCCTGCAGTGCCAGCATCCCATATGGGCGCCAGTTCGAGTCCCAGCTGCTCCACTTCCGATCCAGCTCTCTGCTGTGGCCTGGGAAGGTGGCCCAAGTCCTTGGGCCCCTGCACCTGCATGGGAGACCGGGAAGAAACTCCTGGCTCCTGGCTTCGGATCAGTGCAGCTGCGACCACGGCAGCCAACTGGGGAGTGAACCAGCAGATGGAAGACCTCTCTCTCTCTCTCTTTCTCTTTCCCTCTCTCTCTGTGTAACTCTGACTTTCAAATAAATAAATAAATTTTTTAAAAAAAGAAGAATCAAAATTGGCCATCCTCACCACTATGTGGTTTTAAGGGCAGAGAGCTTGCCCTTAGATTCCATAGGTTACTGGTGCCCTCTGGTGGAGAGCAAAAGTTGCAGCAGCTGGTTCCAGCCAGAGATTTGATCGACATACCAGAGGAGGAAACACCAGCGCTAGACCCTTCCCAGGCACTGCCCCACCCATAGCGCCTGTTCCACAGATCAGGAAGTTGAGTTTTAAGGACACTAAGAAAACTGCCCAAGGTCACTCAGCAAGCAATCCTAATTCAGGGCCAAGGGTTCCAGGAATACTGAGCTACTGAGTTTCACACACACACCTCACAGGAGAAAGCAGGTGTAATGGTTCCCAAAATGTGTCAGCAGCCTGCCTGGCAACTTGATAGGAAGTACACCTACTTTTCGACTGGACCCCGTGGGTGGGGCCCAGCAGGCAGATTCCAGCGTCTGCTCAAACTGCAGCTGCCGCTGGAGGACAGGCCCCTAACCTGGAACTGGGTTTCAGGGGCCCGAAGGGCTCCCGGGTCAGCACACACAATTTGACACACGCACACAACAGCATTCAGAGCAGTCACCCTTGACCTGGAACAAGTTGTGAACCGCCCCTTCCTGTCCAAGTCCTCGCACTGGCTTTTCCCCCAAGCACTTTGAGAGTTCATTTTCCCACACCTCAGTATCTGCAGCACAAGATCCGGGGCCTCCCCAGTAGTGGACCCCGGCCACCGCCCTCCCACACCCACAAGTCTTCCTTTCATTTGCTGCTGCCATTGGCCAACCTTCCCTCGTTCACCACAGACTGGGTCCCTGTGTCCTCTTGCCTCCCCCTCGATGATGTCGCTGCACAACACAGATGTTGCTAGGCCTACAACGGGTTACATCCTGATAAACACCAGTTGGGAAAACTTGGTAGATGGGGGGAGGGGGAGGCGTTGTGGCACAGCGGGTTAAGCCACCACTCATCATACCCACATCCATTGGAGTGACAGTTCAAGTCCTGGCTACTCTGCTTCTGATCCAGCTTCCTGCCAACCCCTCCTGGGAGGCAGTGGGTGATGGCCCAAGTACTTCACTCCCTGCTACCTATGTGGGAGACCCAGAAGGGGTTCCAGGCTGGCTGGAACCAACAGCCCTGGCTGTTGCAGACATCTGGGGAGTGAATGAGCAGATGTAAGATGTCATTCTGCCTTTCAAATAAACAAAAAAAATTAACATTTTTAAAAAAAGAAAATGTAGTTGGCAGGTGCCACGGCTCACTAGGTTAATCCTCAGCCTGCAGCGCTGGCACCCCGGGTTCTAGTCCCAGTTGGGGCACCAGATTCTGTCCTGGTTGCTCCTCTTCCATCTAGCTCTCTGCTGTGGCTGGGAAGGCAGTGGAGGATGGCCCAAGTGCTTGGGCCCTGCACCCACATGGGAGACCAGGAGGAAGCACCTGGCTCCTGGCTTTGATTGGTGCAGTGCACCAGCTGTAGCAGCCATTTGAGGGATGAACCAATGGAAGGAAGACCTTTCTCTCTCTCTCACTGCCTAACTCTGTCAAAAAAATTTTTTTTAAAAGAAAATGTAGTAAGTGAAAAATGCGTTTAATACACTTAGCCCATCTGGCACCATAGCTTAGCCCAGACTACCTTAATAAATGCTCAGAATTTGTCCCATTTGCTTACTGTTGGACAGAATCACCTAACACGACACCTATTTTATAATAAAGTGTTGAAGATCTCATGTAACTTACTGAATGCTGTACTAAAAGTGACAAGCAGAACGGGTCTGCTTTTGCACCACTGTCTATCTGGGACCACAGTAGAGATGATGGTACAGAACCTCCGGCCGACGCTCAGCAGGTGCCAGCTTGACAAGCATCACTGCAGGAGTTGCGGGGGGCTCGGGGTAGGGACCTGTTCTGTCTTCTTCAATGCCCACTAGGTGAGAAGCAGCACTTCATCCACCAGGGAAACAGAACGAGGTAGAATCAGGACAGCCCTGGGCCATGAATGTGAAGTGACACCAACCTCCAAGTCGAGGGATTTTCTCCAGGCATACTCAGCCAGGGACGATTCTCTGAATGACATCTGCCAACATCTGGGGACATTTCTGATAGAGTGCCACTGGCATCTCAGAAGAGGCTAGGAATGCTGCTCAACATCCTACAATCTCTGGTAACAATAATAGATAGAATTAAAAAGGAGTGAGTGCTCCAATATGGGAAGCAGTCCACACAGCAGACTCATAGGATGACAATCGCTTTAAGCAGCACTCTGACCTCAAAATCAGCCCTTAAGGCATCCTGGTCTGGCTGAGAAGCCCATGAGAGCATTTCAGGCATGGAAAGTCAAGACACTGTAGCAAAAAAATGTCCTACATGAAGGACCTCTGTGAGGGAGACTCCAGCGGAAAGTGGCCATCAAAGAAGGATCTACTTTTCTCTGAAGGGAGGAGAGAACTTCCACTTTGCTTATGGCCTTGTCTAAATACAGAAACTGTGGATTTAAAAGGCTTCCCTAGCCTAGGCAGCTCATGTCAAGAGCCTCGGGTGATCACTGACATCATACATAGAAGGCTAATTGTTAAATTAACAGGAGTCACTGTGCACTTACTTCCCATGCAGACCTCTGTCCTCAATGAGCTGTATTATGAAGGTTAACAGTAAAACCTGTTCTTAAAGACTTATTTTGTTTTAGTGTATTAAGTGGAAGTTATACTTTTGTTCCATAAGTTATAGTTATGCCTAAGTGTCCAATTCCATTGCTTGTTTTCTTAGGTGCTTCCTTAATTAATGATAAAACTTATTCTCAAGGACTTATTTTCTTTTGTTTTCTAATGTATTAAATGGAGGTTTTTGTTTTTTGTTTTCTGACAGGCAGAGTTAGTGAGAGAGAGAGAGACAGACAGAGAGAAAGGTCTTTTTCCGTTGGTTCACCCCCCAAGTGGCCACTACAGCTGGCGCGTTGCGCCGATCCGAAGCCAGGAGCCAGGTGCTTCCTCCTGGTCTCCCATGTGGGTGCAGGGCCCAAGGACCTGGGCCATCCTCCACTGCCTTCCCGGGCCACAGTGGAGAGCTAGACTGGAAAAGGAGCAACTGGGACAGAATCCGGTGCCCCAACTGGGACTAGAATCCCGGGGTGCCGGTGCTGCAGGCGGAGGATTAGCCTAGTGAGCCACAGTGCCGGCCAAATGGAGGTCTTATGTCTCATTAAAAAAAAAAAAAAAAAAATCCTACAACCCTGCAATGCAGGGCCTTACCTAAGCCTCCTTCCCCTCTGTGTCTTTGTCTTTTCTTAAGATTCACTTTATCTGAAAGGCAAAATGACATAGAGAGAGGGAGAGGCAGAGATCTCCCATCCACTGGTCCACTCTCCAAATTGTGGGGCTGGGGCTGGGCTGGACCAAAGCCAGGAGCCAAAGACCCCAAGTACTTGGGCCATCACCCACTGTCCTCCCAGGAGCATTAGCAGGAAGCTGGACTGGAAGCAGAGCAGCTGGATCTCGGACCAGTATTCTGACAGGGCATGCTGATGTCACAAGTACTAGCTTAACTGCTGTATCGCAATGCTGGCCCCTCCTCTAAGAGTAGTATGTCATCTCCCAATACAAGAGACCCTCAGGAACTTCACAGAAAAGGCAATTATGAAAAGACTGCATGAATCTCAAAAACCGTTAGCATCAAAATAAGCTTACTGTTGATTTCTATTTTCCATGAATTTTTTGAAGTACCTGTGTATAAGTAACAATCATTCTAATACCATGTATGTAACTCGTTAGTGTCCCTAAACCATGAGAGCAGGGGCCATGCTCATCATCTTCCCCAGGGCACCCCCAGGACATGAGAGGTGCTTCGGTCACAGCCCACGTCTCTCCTGAGCTCACTGTCATCTGGATGTGCTCGGATGCAGCCAACACTAGCCAATGTATCACTGTGTGCTCACCATCAATCACCACCAAATGCCTACTCTTGCACTTTTTTTTTTTTTTTTTTTTTTTGACAGGCAGAGTGGACAGTGAGAGAGAGAGAGAGAGACGGAGAGAAAGGTCTTCCTTTGCCATTGGTTCACCCTCCAATGGCCGCCGCGGCCAGCACGCTGCGGCCAACGCACCGCGCTGACCTGATGGCAGGAGCCAGGTGCTTCTCCTGGTCTCCCATGGGGTGCAGGGCCCAAGCACCTGGGCCATCCTCCACTGCACTCCCTGGCCACAGCAGAGAGCTGGCCTGGAAGAGGGGCAACCGGGACAGAATCTGGTGCCCTGACCGGGACTAGAACCCGGTGTGCCAGCGCCGCAAGGTGGAGGATTAGCCTAGTGAGCCGCGGCGCCAGCCGCACTCATGTTCTTTAGCTCAACAAATGGCACCCACCCTCCCTCCCCCTTCACCCCACATTCATCCACTCACGAAGTCTATTGCTCCTTATATCTTCACTTCTCACACCACTTTCTGTTTTTAGGTTTTTGTCTCACACGTAGTTGGTTTAAGCACTCAGATGGTCAATGATAGACTGCAATTCTAGGTTACCTTATACAAGTTGTTTAACCTCCCTCAGCCTTTAATAGGAGTAGCTTCATTTCCAGCCCAGGTTGCTGCCACAGCTGTTATTCTGCTTCTGGTCTACCAGCAATCCAGTGGCCTCAACAAGGCAACCCAAATGACTGTGCATAAATGCAAGTGAGATACCACTCTCCTTCTAACCCTTTCATGGCTCTCCACTGAGTTGACACGCTCAGCTGCAGCATTGTGGTACAGCAGGTTAAGCCACTGCCTGTGATGTTGTTACCCTGTATGAGCACTGGTTGAAGTCCAGGCTGCACTATCATAGGACCCAGCCATCACACTCCTTGGAATTTACCCAAATGGAATTAAAGGGGAGAAAAAAAGAGCCATTTGCACCTCAATATTTGTTGCAGCTCAATTCACAAAAGACATGGAATCAACCTAAATGTCCATCAATGGATGACTGGATAAAGAAATTATGGGATACGTACTCTATGGAACACTATACAGCAGTAAAAAAACAATGAAATCCGGGCATTTACAACAAAATGGAGGAATCTGGAAAATATCATGCTGAGTGAAATAAGCCAGCCCAAAAGGGACAAATATCATACGTTCTCCCTGATCAATGGCAACTAAACGAGCATCTAAAATTATACCCATTGAAGTGAAATGGACACTATGAGAGACAATGACATGATCAGCCCTTGTCTAGACTGTTGAGGAACAAATTACTATTTTATTCCTTTAGTATTTTGTTGTTGTTGTTGTTGTTGCTCTGTTTGTTCTACTTAATACCACTGGTTGAACTCTGTAATCAATACACAATCATTCTTAGGCGTTTAAAAATAAAATTAGATTAAAAAAAGAAAGTCCAGGCTGCTCTCCAACCCAGCTCTCTGTTGCTGTGTCTGGGAAGCAGTGGAAGATGGCCCAAATACTTGGGACCCTGCACCCACGTGGAAAATCCACAGGAAACCCCTAGCTTCAGCCTGGCCCAACCTCTGCATTGCGGCCATTTAGGGAGTAAACCAGCAGATGGAAGCTCTCTGTCTCTCTCTGAAACTCTTTCAAATAATACATCTTTGTAAAATAATTTTTTTTTCAGTGTTCAACTGGCATTTATTGAGCTCCTTCTACTTAGCTATACATTACTTTCTTTTAATAATCTTTAAAAACAAAACAAAACCACGGTCAACATGCTACCTGTGGCCACTCCAGCCCGTCTCTCATCACTTCTCCAAGTCACGTGGAACAATTTAGTTTCCTAAATAAGCCATTCCCTCACCTCCAGTCCTCATTTGCTGCTTCCCTGGCCTACATGGAAGCTGCATGGGTAGACAATTTGAGGACCAACTACTTGTTCATTGTTGTAGTCCCAGTACAAAGCAATCTCTGGCTCATAGTAATGCTTACTATCTATGAATGAATTCCATTCCCCTCCTTTATTTTGAATGGGCTAAATCAGCTGAGTTCAGGGGGGTTGGAGTTGGGTTGGGGGCGTACACAGCAACATTATCCCCATATTTCCCTAAACCTGTAAAACGTGAGTTTTTCCTAATAATTTTTTTTTAAACCTCTGCAGATGAGATCTGTGCAATTCTGAGCTGGGGGCGGGGCACTGATTTGGAATTAATCTACCAACGACAGCTTGTAAGCTTCGTTACTAGTCCCAGGTTGCCCTGCCCACCTCTAGCCTCAAGACTTTAAAAAAAAAAAAAAAAAATTTATGGGGCCAGTGCTGTGGTACAGGTTAATCCTCTGCCGCGGTGCCAGCATCCCATATGTGCCCCAGTTTGAGTCCCAGCTGCTCATCTTCCAATCCAGCTCTCTGCTATAGCATGGGAAGGCAGCAGAAGATGGTCCAAGTCCTTGGGCCCCTGCACCTGCATGGGAGACCTGAAAGAAGCTCCTAGCTCCTGGCTTCGGATCTGCAAAGCTCCAGCCATTGCAGCCATTTGGGGAGTGAACTGCCGAATGGAAGACCTTTCTGTCTCTCCTTCTCTTTGTAACTCTACTTCTTAAATAAATAAAAAAATTTTAAAAATTATTTGAAAGAGTTACAGAGAGACAGAGAAAGATCTTCCATCCACTGGTTCACTCCCCTAGTGGCCAGAGCAGCCAGGGCTAAGCCAGGAGCCTGAAGCTTCATCTAGGTGTCCCACGTAGGTACGCAGAGACCTAAGTACTTGGGCCATCTTCTGCCGCTTTCCCCAGACCACTAGCAGGGAGGGGGATTGGAATTGGAACAAATAGGACTCGCTGGAACAGTACCCATATGAGATGCTGGCATCTCAGCTGATGGCCCTACCCACTACACCATTGTTGGTCCTTCAAGACTATTTTCAACGCAGATGGTAAATCTGTGCACCAAGAACTCAAGGTGAGCAGGAGGCAAAAACATGGGACACAAAATATACTATGCAGTTAAAGCCACCTGAAAAGGTACCTCAAGGTAACAAACATGGAAGGGGTTGCAGAGCAGAAAGTTGTCTCATCCCGGCCTCCAGTGTTTCTCCTGCTCCACTTTATTTGTAAAACGCTGAGCCCGGTATTTCCAGCACCAGTCTGCCCCAGCCCAGGGCCTCCTCACACAAGCGCACCCTGCCTAGCTCTAGGGCTATCGCCAACATGCTGGCCTGTAAACGGTGCCCCAGAGAGGTACGCGTGCACACCATCTGCACTGACTGTATGCCCCCCTCCCCAGAATTCACTCCCGTTTCACATACCATAATGGCTTTGGCTACAAGGGAACGCTTTTTAAAAGATTTGCTTATTTAAAAGGCAGAGTTAGAGATCTTCCATCCACTGGCTAACTACCCAAATGGCCACAACAGCTGGGGCTGTCCAAGCTCCAGCCCAGAGACAGGAGCTTTTTCCAGGTCTCTCACATGGGTGGCAGGGGCCCAAGCACTTGGGCCAGCTTCCGCTGCTCTCCCAGGTACATTAGCAGGGAGCTGGATCGGAAGTGAAACAGGCAGGACATGAAATGATGCCTATGTGGGATGTCGGCACTGCAGGTGGTGGCTTCACCCACTAAGCCACAGTGACAGCCCCAAGGGGATGATCTTGCACTGTATATGCTACGGCGCTGTGGGCTGTTCACTCTGCTTCGATATCCCTGCAACAGAGCCTCAGTGGCTTCAATGAAGCCCCTGATTTTGAACTTAAAACACTGTGCCATTCAGAGGAAGAGGCTTTACAAATTCCATTAGCTTTGCAAGGACTACAATCCCCTGACATTTAAAAAAGACCCTAACAAACCCTCCCTACATTATGCACCAAGCCCCAATTCAAAACCACAGTAAGCTCAATGTTAAAAACCACTCTGCTGGGGCCAGCGCTGTGGCTCACTTGGCTAATCCTCCTCCTGCAGTGCCGGCATCCCACATGGGTGCCAGGTTCTAGTCCCGGTTGCTCCTCTTCCAGTCCAGCTCTCTGGACTGCCCCGGGAGGGCAGTGGAGGATGGCCCAAGTGCTTGGGCCCCTGCACCCACATGAGAGACCAGGAAGAAGCACCTGGCTCCTGGCTTCGGATCGGCACAACACCGGCCATAGTGGCCATTTGGGGAGTGAACCAAAGGAAGGAAGACTTTTTTCTAACTCTACCTAAAACAAACAAACAAACAAACAAAAACACCACTGAAAGACTGGAAGGTTTCCTTCAGGACTGGGACCCTGAAAATGAAATGTAACAATTACTCCAAAAGGAAATGGGGGAAATACTCCCAGCCCCTGCTGATGTGAAGTCCACTAACTTCCCCAAATCAGATCAAAGAGAACAAAATGAGATTTGGCTGTAAATTAAAAAAAAAATAGTATTTCTTCAATAATGACAATATGACAACACATGATGACAAAATGAAAAATATTTAATAAGCAAAAAAACGCAATAAAAATCAAAAGGTTTACAAGCATGACATAGTGCAAACACCAAGACGGAGCTGTTAACTGTTGCTTGTAAAAACCAGGCAAGAACGCCTGACAATGCTTCCCCCGGCCTCATTTAGTGAGTAAGCTGGCCACCACCCAGTCACTTCAAACTGGCTTTTCTCCTCATTTTCTGAAGCCACATCTGCTACTCCTCGGAGAGAGATCTGGGAAATCCCGTGTTGTCTGTATTCCAGCAGTGCATTTTATGCCGCCTCCTCAAGTGTATGTAGGACTTCCGCTCAAGACCACAGCTAGGCAGTTCCTCCAGGACAGAATCTGCTCTCAGAGCAGCCAAAGGCCAGGCTTCCCTCATCAAGGAAAGGATGCGTGCTCACAGCGTGGCTAAGAGGGGCCCTGCCCAGTGGGCATGTGGGAGCACTCGCGCTCAGCTTGCAGGCCGTGAGGTATCTCGCTCACACGCACACCCCAGAGCTCGGGCTACCAACAGTGCGATAGCTTCTTCGATCATCTTCAAGGCAATCACAGGCAATTCAGACCTAATCGCCACAACAAACGATGAGGTAGAAAGGGTAGGGTTTGTGTGCTCATTTTTCAAATGAGAGAAACTGGGGCTTAAGAAGTTCCAGTCTGGGAGCTGGGCCAGTGGGACAATCCTACTCCACCTCAGAGGCACTTTCAGAGTGTATAGCTGCAGACCCAGGGGCCTGTTCAGGAGTTGCTCATGACTTCTGCCGTGCCAAGTGCTGGGGAGGCCAACAATGTGTCACCCCCTCTACAACATTGTCTAGGGGCTCGCTCTAGAAGAGAGGAACAGGGCACACAGGGGGCAAACTATAGGGAAAACCAGCTTTCTCCTGGATGAGAGGGAAGGCTGGCTTCAATTTCTCAGGCACAGACGCCGGGGACAGCAGCTCCCCCGTACCGCGTCCACAGAGGCCTCCACCC